AGAGAAAAATCAAGAACCATGATATTCTTCAGTTTGATACAAACAACTTATCATGACACAATTTTTCTTATCGACAAATGTGGTGAAGATATTAAGCGATGCAAGATATAAACGAGACACCCGGTATTAATTTCGAGATGGAGGAAATGAGATATTTCATGAATCACTTTAGGTTTTTATAACTACATCAAGCTTCCATTTTATTCTCTTCCAATATTTATTTAAGTCATCTTCGCATTGATTTACGATTTCCGTCATTCCAGACACAATTCAGCTTGTCATAGGCTTTATTGAGTAACGTTCATACTTATTTCACGAAGTTTACACAAAGATCGAAAGTGACAAAGTGAAATGGAAGCAGAAAATTCTCGATTCAGCAAATGTCATGCATATTTGTTCTTGGAGATTATTAAAGAATTGAAAAATGGCCGTCAATCCGTAATCCATTTCTCTCCAGTATTAGATATTTTCACGCAATATCTGCGAAAGTATTTCCTTTCGTGATACACGTATATTTTATATATATAAGATATTTTTTCAAACAATGTATTTGTGAACTGCTCGACGACTGTTCTCGCAACAATAGCGAGCAACGAATAGCTTTCCCCAGATTTCTATCGAATTTTATACAACACCGAATATGTGCCGATTTTTAGCACGGAAGCGAATATTTGAGGCTCAATAAATTGCTAATTGAAAATTACAAACAGAATTTGTTTAACATTAGTATTGATGTCATTTAACGGACCTGTAACTAAGGTTCAAATTACTAGACTAAATTTCCCTTTATCAATCTCTTATAATATTTTTTCCAACCAATTTGCGCCATATTTTATCTTTTCTTAAACCTGATCAGAAATAAACAGAATTTTTCTCGAACAAGCCATTCAAAGATAATGAGTTCAATTTTCGACCAATCTGTTTTGTTTGATTTCATGCTTCTTAAATAAATGTATATATTACATTTTCGTATGCAAATATTATATTATATGTAATATAAATTGTAAATATAAATATTTGTTAAAATATCTATAATTATATTTCTTCGTACACCTTCAAGTTAATTTGCATAAAGTTAAGGTGACGTTTAAGGTGTGTATGTTTAGTATGTACTACCTAGTGTAGTATCTAGTACCTAGTATGTAGTACTGTATTTAGTATCGTACTATATAGTATATATAATATAGATATATAATGTATCGTACTATATAATATAGATATAATATAGATTTTGTCTTAAAGTATCAGACATGTAAAAGCAATCTATATTTCCAATCTACCTATGGATATTAATAATGTTGGAAGTTAGCTACGCCCATGCAACGATGATGACATGCCTGTCGAAGGTTGCAGGGCATTACCGACCTTTGGACATCAAGGGGTCGGTTTTGAGGGCTTAAAAGGGCCTGCCGTCTCTCAGAGCTCCACAGTCTTCAGTTAGAAACCAAAACGGCTATTTATACATTGTGACCCATAGCGGCATCCAAATTAAAAAAAAAAAAAAAAAGGACTCATACGTTTCAATTATATATCGTATAATAAACTTACAAATAAGATTGTTATACAACGGAATACAGCTATTTCCCTGTGCATTTGGCTATTTCCTCCACGAAATACCCAACAAACAATAATACAATTAATGCAATTAAACGTCGAGCAAAAATTTTTTCTAATTATTTAAGTAATTGATGAATCTTTTAGTTTCTGATAAATCTAATTAAAAAAGTGTTATCTTCTTTCTATCTCACGCAAATTACGAATTATAAAATAAAATTGAAAAATAGCCGATTTCTTAATGATTAATTATACCTTCTTCAATGAATTTGAGCAGTAAAAATTAGGAAAAAAGGAAAGGTGCGTTTCATGTGTCTATTTATGCATATATGATGGGAACCCAATGTTCCGCAATTTGTCGAATTTCAGAATTCGGAGACATTTCTTATTGGTGCAGAATTATCTGATAAAAATGCTGATCGTTGGAGCATTCATATTTAGTAAAACCAAATTGTGCTTTAATTGTATTTCTCGATATTCCAATAAATTAAAATTAACTGCTCCACGGTACTTTTCCTTTCAATCAAATTACTTATAATTTATCAATGACATAAAGCGAAATAATTGCCTAAAATTTATACTTATACTTATTACATCGCTGTTAATACTATTAAAACCGAATGCTTTATGCAATTACGTAGGAAATATTTCACTTTACCCAGTAAACGATATACCTGTGGATCAAATATTTCATTTCTACTTGAATTCAGCAATTCATCCATTTTCTACGAACAAACCATTTTGCATTTTACGAATTCATTATAATTTTATTTATAGCTAAAATATATTTTCGATATGCAAAACTCCATATGAATTCATTAAAAAATTTTTCATCGTCAATGTATATCGTCAGTAGGTCGACCGTAATTGGCGACGGTTAATGACGAATCAAATCTCTTGAGGAACGTTGTGTTTTTAGTGGACTGTATATTTTGTAATAGTTCCGGTTAACTCTTCTGAACTCTTCAAATGTTATTTGCTGACTGACTGGTACTGACCTAACTAACTTGTGCGATGTACGATCTTTCGGAGCCCATGGTTTCCAAAGGGAATTCGGTTTTCCCATTGACGGTTCACAGGACCGAGTGTGGGCCCTGTTAATAGCGTTTTGTAATCTGATTTGCAGCAGAAGCAAAATATTTTCGATGTCCAAAACTTCATATGAATTTTCCAAAAATTTTTTTATCACAATGATTATTATCGAATAATAACACAAAGTTAAGTTTTCTTTGAACTTGAGCATCGAATTACATTTTTTAAATTTTATTTGAACGTGACAAAAGAAAATAGGTATTTTCGTTACTCAAAATTAGATACGAATGTACTGAAATTTTCATATCAAAATCACGTTGAATAATAATGTAAAGTCAAACTTTCTTATCTATATGTCTATATTTCTATATATAGCTTCAATATATCTTCCATATATGTATATATCTATATTTATCTATATTTATCTATATTCATAACTGGATATCAGGCATTCAGTTACAAATTATCTTAAAAAAATCAATTTACTGCTAAGACTATTGACATGTACTGTACGTTCGAGAAAGGAAGGCACAGCGTTCACGGCTAATTAACTTCAGTGACACTCCCTTGATCACAGGCAGTGACCGCTATTGGCCGAAAAGGGTGACGAAGATCATCGGTGACATCACTGCCTGTGATCATGAGAGTCAGAGAAGTTAGCCGTGAGGATGTAGACACGTTGTGCCTTCTTTTCTCGAACATACAGTACTACGTGTCTAAATATAGTACTATGCGTTGCAGAGAAGAAGTCCTCTGACAATGAGCGAAACATAGGACCGAATTGACCGAATTGCCATCAACTCACCCACTCTAATGCCATCGCATAAGTAGAGTGAACGCATTTCAGTTACTGACAATAATGACTCCTTCCTATTATCCCGGTCATATAGCACCACGTGACAAAGAAAGCGAAGGAAATAATCGAGACAAAGTGAAACAAACCCAAGAAATAAATGCAACAGCGTAGACTTATTTCTAAAGTATTAACTTCAGATTTTTCCGATAAATGTTTATATCCGAATTTTATTTAACTATACTTATAATTCATATACATTAACACATTAAATATGTGTTCAATATTTACGAAGTATTAGTGAAAATAATTATGTTTTGTTTGTGCAGTATTATTCTCATGTTCGCAGGCTTGCAACGTATTATTCGAGTATGGAAATTTTGCAGATATCTTACGCCTATGTCAACGTATAACGTTATCGAACCTGAAAGGTAGTGGTTTCGGTAATATCATAGAAGAGTGGGGACTACGAGCGAGCATGTTAGTGGAATACCCCCTTGCTCCTACATCGAAACGGCGGACTTCTTCTCTGCAACGCATAGTACATATATACAGATAATAATAATTAATAAGCAATAAAAACGTACATATATACTTACATATAATTACGTTTCTATTTTAAAAAAAGTATATATGAATTTTGTTAGTAGAAGCTACATATTGTCTTGAAAACCAAAATCAATCATTCGGACTGAATCCAAAATTCTAACCTCAACACTAGAACCAACGACTTGTAACCTAACTATAGTATGCATATACAAATAACAATAATGAAAATGCTACGTTGAAAGTACAGTAAATAAATAATCGCAATTACATTTTTATCTTAAAGTTGCAGTGGTATATTATAAGATACGTTAAATAAATAATCATAATTACATTTCTATCTTAATAAAAGTTAACAACTGCTTACCTCAACTGTGGAATAAAGAGAACAAAAGTTCTGAAACCACTGGTTTTAACTAGTTCGGTAGTTGTATCGTTAACATCGTTTGCCCGAACAGCAAGCGACAGCCATGTACCGTCCTAATCGCGATTACACAAGATGGCGCCTTTACTGCGCGTAGCTGCGTGTCGTCTGCTAGTGCAACGGACTCAAATAATCGACGCGAGAGAAGTTGAGTGGACGAATAATCCGCTTTTTGACCATGGAACTTTTCGTCCGCGAGAGTGGAGAATCTCGACCTAGGATCTGCCGCAGCCCGCTAGTAAATTTTCTCCATGCACGCGCGCTATCGTAGTTTCGCCTTTTTCGTGCAATCGCATAAATCACACAATTCGCTTCCTCGTCACATCTAGGAGGTAGATATATCCGATAGATTTACGAGATGTATAAATTACCACAATCAGACTGTTTGTCGAAGCGATGCTCCATTGCACCGTTTACGTGCATTCTCGCCTCCCCCCACCCGGCCTTGCATTTCCGATTTATCTGACTCTTCAGCAGGCATCCTCGACAGCATATACGATAGCGGATGCCGTATTTGTCGAAGAATCATTTTTCCAGCGTTCCCTCAAACACATCGAGATTCTTATTTATGATGCGACGAACGTAAGCGAGCGCGAACAGGATCGTATATAAATTCGGTACGTGGCCGTTGAGGCTTCTCAAAACGCGGATCCTCAGCTATGGCGACGATCAGTGCCGATCCGGCTTGCTGTTTGACCGACTCGGCCAAGTCGCAGCTCTCCGCCGTCAGAGAGAAGCCGGCTCCTCTTCTGCTCGATTCCGATATCAATAAGATCGCAGAGCGGAAACTTCGCTCGAATAACTTTCGCGTTTTGCACTGGAGTTTGGATAGCTTGGGCGAGACGAATGGCTTCATGGGCCAGTACTATACTCTATCCGTGAGGGTGAAAATCGACGACAAATCGAAGCATTTGAAATTCTTCGCGAAAACACCGCCGTCAACCTCTAGCCCGCAATACGATTTCCTATCCCGCCACGATATATTCAATAAGGAGATCACCATCTACAGAGACGTGGTACCAAAGATGGGCGTTGGTCACGCTACCAAGTGGCTACCGGATTATTATCTAGGCAAGAAGAGCACGATAATTGTCCTGGAAGACGCGACTGAAAGCGGCTACGTCACACTGGACAAGTATCAGTCGTTCGACGAGGAACATTCCACCCTGTTGGTCAAGACTCTCTCGACCTTCCACTCAAGATCCTTGATCCTGGACGAGAAGCTTCGCAGGAGTACCGGTCAGACGATCATGGACCTCTACGGGGACTTGCTGAGGGAGGTGGGTTATGTCAAGGACGATGTAACGGTGCATAAATATTCTTCCGCGAGCATCAAAGGCGCAGCAGCCATAGTGGATTTCACCGAAGGATTGAAGGACGACGAGGCGAACGCGATAAAGGATTGGATAACCAAGTGGGTACCTAAGTTACCCACCTTGTTGGAGCCATCCAGCAAATTCAGGAACCTGATGTGCCATCGGGATGTATGGTCGAACAATATGATGTTCAAGAGAGACTCCGCGGGTAAGCCAGTCGGTTGCTATCTGGTAGACTTCCAATTCTTACGGTACAGCCCGCCTGCTTTCGATTTCGTCGCTTGTCTTCTTCTCACTCTCGATCGTGCTACCAGACGTCGCTGTTACGATCGGCTTGTCGATGTTTATTACGATACCATGAGGAAAGAGCTGGCTGCCGACGGGCTCTCCGTGGACGACTGTTTATCTCGCGATCAGTTCGTGGACAGTTGCGAGCACGTGAAAGGGGTGGCACTTCTGTACGTGATCGCTAATTTGCAGATAATGCTGCTGTCGAAAGAGGCTGTGGAGGAGTACTTCATACAATCGCCGAAGCTGTTGGAACATGTTCTTTATGGCGATGAAAGACCCGATCTCGTTAGGAACCAATGTCGTGCTAGGAAGGAATATCAGCAACGTCAAACGGAAATAATAGAGGAGATCAGAGAGTACCTGGCTGGTAACCCATGGTTGCGTTAGTGGTGGCATGAAATAGAGGTGCCGGATGTTGCTTCGATGTCGCTGTTTGTACCTGCGTTACGATCTGTGATAAAAAGGACTTTGAGGTGGTATTAGAAAAGGGATTGCCCTTATTTCCAAGAATCTACGATTCGTGATGTCGCAGTGGCTGATGGAACGTGCTGAAGCTCGTAAGAAAGACTACGAGGACTAAGGTCAATCGATAAGTCGTGCATCAACCGACTTTTTGCCAAGATATCGTGAATATCGCGCGGAATATTGCGAGGCATGTAATCTGGTGAACCAATTTCACTCTCCGTGCGAGAATAATTTACTTTCCTTTTTTAGATATCTTTGTAACAATAGTTATATTGTTGGTATTTTAATGTGGCTGTTATTCGAATATACAATATACAGGGTGAGACGTTTATAACAGATCACCTAAATAACTTGCTTGCTCGTAATAATATAAGAAAATGTGTTAGGCAAAAGTTGCTGGATTTCGATGTGCACATAGTATAATATCGATAGTCTTTCTGTTAGTGGAGGCATAGAGGAGATATGAAGGTCAAGCTTGTGTTTCTAATGGGATGATAGTGTTTCTTATTTATGTCCTGATAGAGCCTTTCAAGACGAATATAATGACGATGAATACAATGACCTATGAATGAATATATTATACAGGGTGTCGCATTTGTAGTTACGGATTTATTATTTCCTCGATAATTTTTAAATAGTTCGTTTCAAAAAATATTTCAAATAAAACTAATTCTGTTTCAAGATCATCTTGTAATAATAATAAATTGTTGCCAGGTGGACGTGCTTCCGAGATTTATATTTTTCTGTGCAAACGAATATTCATTTCAAGATGAATTCATTGATCTATAATATTTTGGTACATGTATATTTTGACAAAAGGTATTGTATCAATGTAAATTGAATTTGATTGTATGGAGGAAGATTGACATTATACGACGTTGTTAACAAAAATGGTAAAAAATAATTATTTGTATACAGCAAAAATCGATATTTTGTATTCATTTATCACCCAAATTTGACATAATAGGCAACTTTGTGGCGAGATAAATATCTGAAGAAGCTTTTCATTTTCAGACATCGAATGATCATATTTACTATTTTCTTGTACTTACATTCACATAAATTGGTTAAGTTTGTAGGAAAAAAAAAATATAGAAATATAAATTGCAAGAGGACAGACAAAGTACTTTGATACTTGTAAATAGATAATTTTTTGAAATTATTTTGTGAGCAATTATCGAGAGAAATATTTCTTCTTTCAATACAGTGACGTATGTACCTTTTAGGTTCATCGTTAAATTTTTTTCAATGCGAAATATTGCGAAAGGTCGGAGATATTTGCAATTTCTGAAACTCATTTCTCAGCTTTTGAAGCGTATGAAGTAAATTCTTTTTTTTCTTATTCTTAAACTAAGAAATATTGTTTAAAATCCAGAGTAGAATTTTTTAGGAATCTTATTGTTTGTAGGAATAGTAGCAATATTAATATAAAAATTTCATATAAAAGAAGTTGCCTTTAAAACGTTTGTAAGTCAACAAATATATGAGATATGGAAAACGAATCTGTGCTACATTTTAAAATACTTTGTGCAGAATTTGTCGTATTAGTTTGAAGTAAATTGGACGTATAGTTTCAGAAATTCCTTAGTGGCCAGTTGAAAAAATATAATTTGTAGAAAAATGCAAAAGAGGATTAATTTCCTTTCACTTGTGGGTGAAATATTCTTAAATTTGACACAATACTTACGTACTTCAAACTACAAGAAAGAAGAAGAAATTTATTTCTTCTACTCTTCAGGATAGTCTACTTCTTATCATTATTATTATTATTTCCATATTATTAACCCTTTGCACTCGACGATTTTTTGGCTAGAGAAGAGTAGAAATTCAAAGATTCTCTATTAAAAAACTGACGATGCATTTTTGAGCAGTAAATAAAGAATTATATAATAAGAGAATTGTAGAATAATTTGATTTCGATACCTCGCACACTGTTATATTACATTAAATTTGATATATTAATTAATATCAATCTTCTAAATTTTACGAAATGGTGACTGAAGCTCACCTCTCGAGTGCAAAGGGTTAAGCCTTTGCGATCCTACATTGAATTGGACTTGACGCTCTATTATTCGAGTCTTTATAATTTTTATATTTGAAAATATGTTGCCCTTTGTATTTTAATTTAATTCCACAAAAATATGTCATCCTCGACACGTTATCGATAAAAGAAGTATTAACCCTTGGGACTCGAAGATTTCTTCGTTCTGAAGATGCAATTCGAAGCTGTTCTTAGATTTTTATAAGCTCACTGACACTCTTTATGCTAAAATTAAAAAAAGAAAATCGTGAATTTGCGTGTGAAACGATCGAGTAGAATAATTTTATTTCGATATTCTTAACATAATTATCATCATTCATTATCTAAATTATAGCATTAAAGCAAACGGTGACTGAGAGTCACCTCTCGAGTGCAAAGGGTTAAAATAGAATAAAATTTCATGCGTCGATTACAAGTAATTTCTTAATCACGAAGAAATTGAGTTAAAATACCGAATGCGATTTGAATCGCAAAAGATCGGGGAAGAATTACATTTCCGTAGACGCATTAATCTCAAAAAACAGGAAAGATGATAGCGCGTAAAAATTTTACCACGTACTGTATAACGCTTAGGCTGCGCAAAGTAGATTTTTAACGGGAGATTAACGAGGATATCATGAAGGGAGTGTGACGTATCTGCGTGACAGAAATAAAAAGTCGAGCAAGCCGGTATTTCGACATGGCCGTACACGAATCGTGTGTATTCACGGGAACACGGAATTCATGGCACACGTTCCTTTCCATTACGATTGATGACGAGAGTGGCACTTTGCATGCAAACGAATACACAAGGAGCCCTTTCGCTGCGAATTTCGTTTCCCTCTTGCCCATTTTTCTCTCCTCTCTCTCTCTCTTTCCACCCTCCTTGTCGTATTGTTTCATCGTTTCGCTACCCTTCTTTTTCCAGATTTCACTGCCAGCGATGCGTACGAATAAAGGGAATACGTCAGCCTCGAAGCCACATCGCCGTTTCGTTACTTTCTGGACCATACTCCTTTTTTCCCCGGAACGTTCATCGCTCCAGGGCCCTTCAATGTCTGCCAATGAACCTTCCCTTCCGCGTTAACGTTTCAGCGAAATTATTTCATTCCGGGATTTTACGCGGCTACACGCGTACCCTGGTAGCTTTGTTAAACGGAGAATCGTTAAGAAAGCTAATTTTCCGCTTAAAACCATTGTGCGATACAACGCTTTGCCGGCTTAAACGGCACCATCGTTCTCCGTTAGGCGAACTTTGTCGTAAAAGGGAAAAGGGATTACGGCTAGTAATAAACTTTGCAGAAACCTTGCATGAGGCGAAAAGATAAGAACCTCTAATATTTAAAGTAACTTTTCGCTGTGATCTTAACTCCTTGCAGGTCCTGCATGTTCCATGACTGCCGACAGCTGCATCGATGGACGGGTAAATACCCTTTTATGTGAAATTCAAAGTTTCATACGAATTCGGGAAGAAATATTAACTATTCCATTTAAAAAATCGAAGATGATCTACATATCTTGATAAAAAAGCAAAATAAAGTTGATTAGAATATTATATGTCTCCCTGGAAGCCATGGGAGTCCTATATGAAACATTTTTTCGTGCAACAAATATTTGTTGAGTGATTTGACGTCGTCATATTACGAGGCTCACCCTGTATGTATTTGTAAGTGTCAATAAAATAAATATGGTTTTAATCGATATTTATGGTTAATATGTGTAGAGTCACACAGTCTCTACTACGCTGGAGAGTACTTCGACTTTCTTAACCCCTTGACATATAAATAAAATGCGCATCGACGCGTCCCTAGAACACCATTTAATTTGGCTCAACTGTGGACACTCATGTGCAAGCTTAGAAACAGAACGTTTTATTTTCAAATTTAGTGCTATGTAAATAAAACAGTAAAGTTGATACATAACGTTAATGTACAGTAATTAAGTAATACTGTAAAATAATAATTTAGTAGTTTTGTAAAGTATGATACATCTCAAAACATTTTGGAATATGTAGTGGAATCAGACATGTTTTACACTGCCAAGTTGTTTCACTTCTTACATTATGTTTGATGCACGCATGGCATCTGTTTGCAGGATGTTGCTTTTTACTTGTCGCAGGCATATGTTCGGGAAAATGTGCCAAATTTTTTAAACAAAATAGCATCCACGCACGATTGAAACAGGTAAAGAATCTAATATACTGCGCGACGTTCGCCGAAGACAATTCTTGACGTTTCCGAGACGTCAAAGTCTACAGTGGCAAATGAAATGAATGACGTCTCCCAGACGTCATTGTATGTCAAGGGGTTAAATTCACTGTAGACTAGAGACTGTATTTGACTCAGTCTCAACTTTAACTAACTACACGACTAAACTACAACTCAAGACTCAACACGAAGTACTGATGAACTATAAGACAAACTTGATTACTAAAGATCAACTAACTCTGTGTTCCAGAGCGGACCGTTTTAAGCCCGTATGGAAGGCAAGGGCCCCCCCGAAGGAGGAGAAAACTCCCTCCATACAAAGCTCAGGGGTAGAAGAGACTCCTCCTTCCAGGTTAAGTTCTCCGAAGGGCTAGCCTCGCGGGGACCCTTCCCGAGAAGTGACTGTGGATGCGTCACCCTCGGTTTACAACGGGGAACTTCACGTAGCCTGGCTCCGACCTCCTATGACCAATCCGGCTATGACCTAACGGGTCCCCTAAACCTAGCGAAGTGTCTCATACAGGAGCACTTCGACCATCGTATCCTAACAACGCTTAAAATTATCCTACATATATATGTGTATATTATATTTTGTATAGTACAGTGTCCCGTTTGAAACGATTTGCTCAAATATTTTCGAAACTGTGAAATGTTACGTATTTTGGTAACTGTGGTGATATGATTATCATAGAATCTGTGGCATGAGAGTGTGATCTATGTTTTGTGTATGTTACGGTAGAAATAGAGAGAAGCGACCTAGTGTCGCGAAAATACAGTCAGTACATTAATGGCAATCATAACATGGAGACATCGAGTGTAAGAGAAATATAGAGAGATAGTGTATCACAGCGAGAAGCAATCACATTTTATGGGATTTAGGTTTCTTTCTTTCGTCGTACAGTCGAGTGTGTCGTAATTCTTTAAATAAAAATTTGTCATTTGGTCCATTTACTCACAGTAAGAAACGTAGCATTAAGAGGATAAAAATTCTTAAACTAATGATTCTTCGAATAAATGAAATTCATTATTTTCTTATGGAGAATAATAAGATATACTTGTAGCGTCCTATTTATCGAATCTCTTCGAAATCCTAGAATGCTTATCACGCGCCAAATTAATACTGCGTAACTAGTTGTAATAATAAGGATCCCGAAGTGTGTGTTGGTAAAAGAGAGCGTTTATTTATAGAAAAGTATAGAATAGTTATAATGGAGACGTTGAACGGAGTACCGTTTCGAACACGCGTTTATATGTGAAAGTAAGATGTTTCAAGGATCGGTGTCGAAGACGAACTGATTTCTCGAATTTGATCTATGTAGTGTCTCGTCGTGTCCTGTCCGGTGTTTTCTCCAGTTTAGTTCCGATTGGGCAAAATAAACGTTGGTGGTGGAAAAGTAAGGAGTTTTAATTGGACAGAGGGTGTGACGGAAGGACCTTTGGCTAAGGAGTAGGAAACTGTCAAGGAGCCGATTTTTGAT